ATGGCCAAGAAATGAAGATGAGGTTGGCAGCATGCCCCGAAGGGTAGAGAACTTTAGCTGATATGAAACAAGGGTGCAAAGCAATTTTTAGAGGCACAGGACCCAGCCTATTTGGTTGGGTGGGCTTCAGAGCTGAAGCTCCAGCCTAAGCCACAATTTCAAAGCACTGTCTACACCGCTATTTTTAGGGTGCTAGCATGAGTCTGTCAACCCGGGCTGGGAGACTGGCTTCTGTGGGTTGTGCATTCATACCCCTACAGAGCCCTCTCTCTTTCATGTGCTGATCCATTTTCCAAAAATAATCATTCTTCTGGTTGAGGAATTTGACAGACAAGTAAAGAGTGGCACTTTCTAGGCAGGGAGGCGTTGAAACTGATAATTACAGTGTAGTTGGTGATATGGTGTATCATGTAGATGAGCACTGGGTTGTATGTATATGTTGGGATGGAGGAGAGATTTGCTGCTATAAGAGGTTCTGGGCAGCAGAAGAGAGCAGAGAAGGGGTGGAGTTAGTAACAAGTTTGATTCACTGCATAATCTTCCAAGCAAATATAGCTGGGCAATTTAAAAAAAAAAATTGGGACAGAATTTGCATCTTAATCAGTCTTTTCATTAGTGAAGCTGTGCAGATGTGTCCTTCTGAAAATATAGTGATTTTAAAATGTTAATAGTGGTTTCATTGCTGCATTGTGTATTATACATTATTTTATTATTCATGTATTTAGCTGTTGGTGTATGACTTTTTTTTAAGAAAGGCATCTATTTGAAAGGCACAAGTGACGTGCAGTCCACATGGGGTTCTCAGCGTAAAAATTTAGTGTTTTAACTCTTATATTTGAGGCTGATTACCTTTTATATATGTTAAAATATTGTTGTTGGTTCTTTTTAATGAACATTTACATGCAGATATCCTGCTTTTCCAGCCCACGAGGCAACTTTATGTAATATACATTTGCATATGGACATAGTTATGATACTAGAACTGGAAGAAAACAAAATAAAAGTCTCATGAGCAGGTTAAAACCCTACTGGTGGAATACAGCTCCTTAAAAACTTGGTATCACCACGGCTTTATGGCAACTGCTTCAATTATAGGTACCGTCTCTAGCTGTGCATGCCAGGAATTAACTCTCAGGTGAACACCGATTGTCAGAAATGCATTCCAAAGGATTCTCTCAACATGAGGAAGGAGCTGTTGCTTGCTTTCTGAATTGTGAAGATGATAGTTCCTGAATGGTACCATACAAGGGAAATCTGAGAATAGCAATACAGGACCAGCAAGGGTGGGAAAGAGGATATTAAGCAAAGGAAATATTAAATTTAAAGGATGCTCTGATAACTATTTTAAAAGTTTGTTTCAGTTTTATGGTACCTGAAAACCAAAACTAAACCTGAATAATAATTGACTCTCTTAAGCCAGGGCTTCCACATGCCTGCCCGGCTGCCTTCGCCGCCACTGGTACCACCCCGAGCACACCTAAGAGCCCTGCAGCCCTCCTGGTAATTCAAAAGGGCCCGGGGCCCCTGGCCACCACTACTGCCCTTCTAAATTGCCCCTGGGCAATTGTCCCTTTGTCCCCCCTCCCCCATTGGCGGGCCTGTTCACAACACAAAACATCTGATATGTTTGTATCCCCGTTTTTTCGAACTGGATCCTTACAGGAGGAATTGGGGAATGTAGAAATTTACTCAACTATTTCAGTATCCTAGCAAAGCATCTGGGCCTCTAACTGCTAAGCAGTATGTTCCCTTCTGCAATAGTCACAGAGTTTCCAGGCCATTGCCTTCGAGCAGTAAATGCAGGTAGAAAGAATTTGAGAAATCAGCAGGAGCAGTCTAATGATCACTCAAAATTCAGAGGCAAACCAACCTGTGTGAAGACTTCTGTGAAATTTACTGTAGCTTTGAAGAAAGATTGGTGCTGTCCCAACATGAAGACAAATGTATCTAATCAAAATAGCTGTGTTCTGTTTTACACATTTACTGTGTAAATAGTTCCATGTGGAAAGAGTACCAGTAATTCTCCTTGACAACATTATGAAAAGAAGAGAATTATCCAGACAAATGTCTAGGCTAAGAAAAAGTTTGCAAATATATATTATATGTAACAAAAGAAGTTTTATTGTAACGTGTGTTATTAAAAGAAAATAATTTCTGGAAACTCATAGTTAAGGGTCCAGACCCTAACTCTAACCCATGTGCAATTGTGGCTTTTTTCTTAACTAGTTGATTATACCTATTTAAAGCCTTAACTCCTTAATGTAATGATTTTTGCAAGGCATGTTTTCCCCCCCCCCAGGAATAGTGTGGATCAGCATCCCTTTCCCCCCATAATCAAACGTATTCTTGCCCGGAATACTGCAGGTAAGGATGAGGTAATTTGTCATAACATTGCCTTGCAAGTAGTTGCAATTGAACAGATCTTAATGAATAATATTTTCCTAAATTGAACAAACAGCATGAACACCAATCAGCAGGGCTTCCTTTTACAGATTATGTTTTTCTCCTTGTGGCTTTGGATTTTTAACATAGCTATGGAATAATTAAGCAAAGTGGAGTATTAATGTAGTTTTGCTATTAATATATTAAAGTTGCCAGATGTTGTTCATTTTTTCCTTTCGTTTTTTAATGTATAGCACCATTAGAACTCTAGGCTATTGATGGGGTCATTGAGAACCTAGACATCGAGAACCAGTGTTTTTATGTACAAACAACATTTGAGCTAACGATCGTGTTGTCCTTCTTCCCTCATATGACTCCTTAATAGCACTTTTAATGGTCACCTTGGAAACTCACACTAGCAATTTTGGAACACCAGCAACATTTTAAGTAAGATAAGGGGAGCAGCGTCCAAAACACATTGATTCAAATTGATATGTCTTGTAAATTCCAGTAATTGTTTTAATGTGTGAAAAAAGTTGTTTTTAAATTAACCCCTCTATTTCCAGAGAATATATTTGTCTGGACATCAGTTTTCTGTGGAATAAATTTCAATTAAATATAGCCAAATTCTGGCCCTGCTCACTATCAGGGATAATTTTTCAGAAGAGATGAGGACTGGCCTAAATGCAGTTTGCACTGACAAAGTGTATCATCAGTGCAAAGCTAAGTAATTATACGCCTAGGTATCTGATTAACTCTTTCAATCAGATAGTTGGATGCACATACACTCAAACGTGTCCAATTCAATTGTGGATGAAATTTTTGTGGGGGAAATTTACACCTTCAAAGGGGAGATTGCCCTTCGGAAAATGTGGCCTATAGTGTGGACGTGGGAACAATAGTCATGAGGCACAAAATCTGCAAAAATAGCTTAACATGGGCTTCTAAATTCAGATTTAGTGGCCTTATACCAAGATGTCTCAGAGACATCCCAATACACTTTGTTCATGTACAGTACCTGGTTCATAGCTGAGAAATGGTGAGGACTGTGATATTCATGCATGACTGTTTGAACTATATTTCTGGTTGCATTATGTTTTTAAGAATATACATGTTGGCTACAGAGATACTCAATATTCCATGCAGGGTACTGATGGGTGGTAATCTTCAAAAGATTCAGAAGCTTGGTTTGGATAAGCACCTGAATGTGCTGAAGCCTATTCAACTCCATCTCTAATGTGATAGAGGAGAGTCAGGATTCAGTTGTAGTGAATATGCAGAGTATCGTTTACTAAGGACTCTGGATATAGACAGATCCTGTAAATGTCTGACTCTCTAACTCCAAGACTAAATAAATAGTCTGTGGTGTCTAAAGTCCATCACAAGGTCTCTCCAAGTCCTGACCTGGATTTAGCAGTTATGGGAAGGACTGTGACTACATAGCAATGAAAAAGCCCCGCAGCTCAAGACCCGTGGGCCCGAATCGACTGGCACAGGCCAGCTGCAGGTTTTTCTTTGCTGAGTAGACCTACCCTGAAAGAACAGACCACTGCAGGGTGGAGTTACAGTGGAAAAGGGAAATGCCCGGGATGGGAGGAAGTCAGCCTGCCACACCCCCACCAACCGCTAGGCAGCACTGGCAGTGAGTGTTTCTCTTCACTGAACAGCAGGGTTGAACTTACCACCTCAGGTACCTATGGATTTTCTCCGTTTAGATTCACGTACATCTCAGGACTCAGCTGTGGCCTCCTCACTATTGGTGGTGATGACTTGCTAGTCTTCATGAATACATCCAGTCACAATGGACTCGTGAATCTGAAGATGCAGAAAATCAGGCTACAGATCTTGAAATGAAATAGAGAGTTGATTTTATACTGTACATGTTAGGTTATGTAATCCCTTAAGAAGCAAGTGAACAGAATGCAATGCAAATCCAGTGGAAATGTTAGTCAAACAAAACACATGTCCACCAGTTTAAGGGAGGATTTAATATAATGACCCAGTTAATCCTTAAGAAATAAATGATTCATTCACAGAGTTGGGTTCAGATGAAAATTTTGAATCTGACGTATGATATCATCTGTCACATACTCGGCACTGTGTGTGTGAATGTATCTGGTACACTCTGTATGTTGAAGATTCAGGGTCTGGTGAGGAGGAGCAGAGTTTGGAGTGAAAAGGGCAATGTCTAGGCATTCTGAATCAGTCATAAGCATTTAAGCTTCTTTCTAGCTCAGTTTTAATTTAAAATTCTTTTCAGTTGTAGTATTTTTCAAGGAGAAAATGCTACTGCAAGACCTGATACAGAGCGCTTACTGCTATGGACATAACCTGGAAATAAGGACAGAACTAGGATTCTTAAACTAGTTATGGTGCCTCAAAATATTCAATTAAGGGCATTCTTTATCTTATTAAAGTGGTTTTCAAATGTATGATGTTTGTTATGCACCATCTGAGTTTATGCTTTTGGTCTCTCCATACAGCGGTCTTCATTTCTATGGGTATGTCTACACTACGAGAGTAGTTCGATTTTAGTTAAATCGAATATGTGCAATCGATGGACGGGGTCTTGTGTGAGGCGGGTAGGAAAGGACTTTTCAAATTTTGGGGAATGAGAGCCTTCTAGTGGTAGAGCAGTCCGCAGGGGTGGAGTGAAATTTTTCACGGCCCCTTCCGCCCCTCCGTGTTTGGACTTTGGGTGAGGGGGGTATGGGACTTGGTGGCGGGGCAGGGCAGTTAGAGAGAGACTGCAGCGGGGCTCTTTCCTCCTGCCTCCGGTCCTGCAGAACATCCACAAGGCGGCGGAGCGTGTCCGTTTGCTCCCTCATTAGTCCAAGCAGCGTTTGAGTAGCCTGCCTGTCCTCCTGTCGCCACCTCTCCTCCCGTTCAATGTTTGCCCGGTGCATTTGGGACAAGTTCTCCCTCCACTGTGTCTGCTGGGCTGCCTGTGCTCGGGAGCATCCCATTAGTTCAGCAAACATGTCTTCCCGTGTCCTCTTCTTCCTCCTCCTAATGTGCGCTAGCCTCTGGGCAGATGTGGCTGTGGGAATTGGAAAAAGGGAGTGAATTCCTGAGACAGATCAATGTATCTGTGAACAGAGAACATAGTCTTTCTCTGTGAACAAGACCATGCAGAGCACCTATCACACGCGCACTGAGGACAAGGTCGAATTTTCGGCCCTCGCCTACAGTGCCTGCGGTCTTGCTGTGGCGAGCTGAGGAGCAGGGCAGGACACCGGACTTTGTCTAGATGGCAAACATGGTAAGCCGTAGACTTGTGGCTGCTTAAAACTTTAAGAGTGGCACTGGCCTCCTTTCACATAGAAAGCAATGCGAGTCTCTGCTGGCAGCAATCCTGCAAGCATGAACTCTGGCCCTGTCCCACCCCCTCGCGGCTGTAAACCGCGTGGCTGTAAACCGGCGGTTGCAGTTCTGTAAAGGGACGGGCAAGCAGTCCCAATACTAACTTTCCCCTACCTAATTCACAGCAGGGCGTCATGCCAGACATCACCCTCCTGAAGGTCTCGGAGAGCCAGAAGGAGCGGATGCTTCGTGACAGCCTGCAGAAACCGGGGCCATTTGCTGCAATGCTCTGCAAGGCCATGATCCCCGAGTACCTGCTGGCGTTGTGGCAGGGAAACGTGTCCTACCACGGGGGGCCTAATAAGCTCTCCCTGCCTAGGAACCTGCTCATGAGGCTTGATAAACACCTGCAGGAGGCCTATGAGGAGTTCTCCCCGGAGGATGTCGCCTCAATCCCCGGATACATTGACCAGTTTTTGGCTTAGGTGCCCTTGGAGGGACAAAAGAGTGCAGCGTTTTGGGCACTATAATCATGAAGCGGACATTGTGAAATTTTTTGAAAATAGTTCGGACTATATATTGAAGCGCTCAAAGACAGACTAATCATGATACACTTTGCACAGATTCCCGTTTTGTTGGACTTTCCTGTTTACATGTTTTGAAGCACTTTACCCACTGTTAATATTTTAAATCTTCCTGTTCTGTTGTAAATAAATGTTTACATGTTTTAAAGCACTTTAGCTATTGTTAATATTTTAAATATGCCAGTTATGTTATAAATAAATGTTTAGGTATTTAAAACACTTACTGCTTGATCCTTCCCCTGAATCTGTGTCTGGGATAACGGCTGGGGAGGGTTGGTAGGGGATCTCTGTGAGGGTGATGAAGAGCTCCTGGCTGTCGGGCAAATCAGCGTTGTAAGCGCTGTCTACTGCTTCATCCTCCTCATCTCCTTCCTCCTCTTCCCCGTCCGCTGAGGAACCGGCCGCGGACAATATCCTATCCTCAGAGTCCACGGTCAGTGGTGGGGTAGTGGTGGCGGCCGCACCTAGGATGGAATGCAGTGCCTCGTAGAAACGGGATGTGTGGGGCTGGGATCCGGAGCGTCCGTTTGCCTCTTTGGTCTTCTGGTAGCCTTGTCTCAGCTCCTTGATTTTCACGCGGCACTGCGTTGCATCCCGGCTGTATCCTCTCTCTGCCATGGCTTTAGAGATCTTCTCATAGGTCTTTGCATTCCGTCTTTTGGAGCGCAGCTCGGAAAGCACGGACTCATCTCCCCACACAGCGATGAGATCCAAGACTTCCCGATCCGTCCATGCTGGGGCCCTCTTTCTATTAGATTGCACGGCCATCTCTGCTGGAGAGCTCTGCATCGTTGCCACTGCTGCTGAGCTCGCCACGGTGTCAAAACAGAAACTGCGATTCAAACTGCCCAGACAGGAAAAGGAATTCAAATTTTCCCGGGGTGTGGCTGGTCAGAGCATCCGAGGTCGGACTGCTGTCCAGAGCGTCAACAGAGTGGTGCACTGTGGGATAGCTCCCGGAGCTATTAGCGTCGAATTCCATCCACACCTAGCCTAATTCGACATGGCCATGTCGAATTTAGCGCTACTCCTCTCGTTGGGGAGGATTACAGAAATCGATTTAAAGAGAGCTCTATGTCGAACTAAATGGCTTCCTGGTGTGGACGGGTGCAGGGTTAATTCGATATAACGGCGCTAAATTCGACATAAAAGCCTAGTGTAGACCAGGCCTATGAGACAAGGTGAGTGAGGTAATATCTTTTATTGGACTAACTTCTGTTGGTCAGAGAGACATGCTTTCAAGCTACACAGAGCTCTTCTTCTCCATGTATCTCAAAAGCGTATCTCTCTCACCAACAGAAGTTGGTCCAATTAAAGAACCTCACCCACCTTGTGTCTGTAATATCCTGGGACTAACATGGCTACAATACTTCATTTTTAAGGACAGTGCTGATACTGTGAGCTATTGATTTAGAAGGTTAGAAGTAAAAAGAATCCAATTTGTACTTGAGTCCTGAATAATAATAAGTGGTTCCTGAACATGAAAATTCAATTTTCGGAGATGATTTTATAACCTAGAAGGTATAAAAATAATGGAAATTGTAATAAGTTTATTTTAGCCCTAAATCTATTCGATCCTGTTTTGTGAAACTGGAATGATATTGATGTTCTTGATGAATTGGTTGATTGTCCAGATGCTGATAACTCAGAGATCTGCTTGGTATCTGTGAAACGCCAAATGGCACACTTCCATATCCAGCTAGTGGGTGTTTCATTTTCTCTGTTGATTTTTGCCTTTTAGACTCCACTCTGAAATTTGTATTTAGATTGAAGCAGTGGTGTTGATGACCTTCATAGCAGGAATGTATAACAGTGACCCCCTACATGGATTAATAGTTTCATTTAGTGCATTTCACAGTTTATTTATGGTGAAAGGTGTTATGTTTTGTTTTTTTCTCCTGAACCTTAATTCTGCTGGGATGAGCAAAATGGACATTGTTTTTCTTTAAGTAAGTTTTCATGGCAAACCTTTAGGTGTTGAAGAGAATATTTATTCCTTCCATTTCACTTTTTTTTTACCTGAGTGTGGAAGACAGTTATGAATGATGCTGTGACATTTCCTTTGGAACTTCATCAACATTCTATGTAATAGTGAAGCATATTTATATTTTCATACTGGGCACTGCTATGAAAAGATTAAAATCGCTATTTTTTTGTGAGTGTATATTTAGATATTGTTTAGAAACGGCTAGTATTTGATTGCATATGTCTTTTAGAAATTGAGATTTTCAGCAAAGTTGATTCAATCAGTGATGAAATAGGTACAAAATAGATCATGTATACATAAGAATTAATGAGATTGCTGTTACTATATTAAATCTTCACTGATTACTTACAACTGATAGAGATTCAAATTTAAATAGCAAATTGTTACCATCTAAATATCATTCTTCATAACAGAGATACGTAACAACTACATGCTTTGATACTGCAATTCACCTTTATGCCTTTGAAAATCCCCTTTTAAGAGTAGTAAACATGTATTTCTTACCACGCCTACTTAGATGCTCAAACTGTGATTTATGAGGACACTCCAATATCTTTGACTCATAATTATTTAGCATCCTTGTACTCCACCTAGTACACTTTTAAATTGTAATATTACTGAAATTGAATGTGTTGCTGTGAAAGAGTATTTAATAATACTCTTTCACAGCAACACATTCAATTTCAGTAATATTAATAAATATACGGCAACAACCTTCTTTTCTTATTCAACTGTTCCTCAGATATAAAGAAATTTTACTTTTTAGAACTCTGGTCAGTCCTGATGTGCTTGGCACAACCAACTGTGTGTTTGTGAATCATTTTTGTAGTTTTTTTGGAGGATTAATACAGAATTAAATGCAGTCTGACACTTGGCTGTAGGTTAGTAATATAAACTGATTTGTCTTGTGAATTTTCCAAATTGAAAACTCTGTTTAATATGATATTTTCTGTGTACATTTCACTATTCATTGCAGTAGAAAAAATAATGTGTATGAGGAAAACTAAAGTCTCATTCAAGGAAGAAAGGAACAATGCCTTAAGGAAAAGAATGAAAATTCTATTCTTTGTGTCTGAGAAGTTGGTGCCATTTTGTTCTGCTAAGATGATACCATTCTTGACATCAACTCTTTCACAAAAGGAACGAGTCCAAAGATGTTCCAGATGCAGTTAATAAAAGAGCTGACAGTCTGCAGTCAACACTACACTCCATGAAGGGGAAGCCTGAGTACTCTGTCAGTAGAAGAAAACCATGTACAAGGACTATGCAGACAAAAAGTGAACATGGGCTAGAAGGAGCAGATGCAGTGAGAATATATCATCAGGGATCTGAGGCCACAAAGTTACTTAAAGGCTATTCGTACATCTCTTTGTGGGTGTGTGCGCGCGCACATGCATCAGTGTTCCCATGTATTTAAGAACATTTGTACTAAAAAAAAAAAAAAAAAGGGCCCTTGCAGCCAGAACTCAGGGCCTGAAGTACATTTGCACTTAAGTCATTTAAAGTGCTCTACATATTTCCACTTAAGTACTTTAAATATTCTGTACTTAGTTCTTGTATTTAAATACATTTCAAAGGTATTTAAAGCACAAGTAACTATTTTTTTTTATCTGCAATCACTTTCAAAATAGTCTTTGAACAATCACATCCCTCCCAGCTGTCCTGGATTCTGGTTGGTCCCCAGAACCCACTGTCCCAGCTTGGAAGCTTCAGGCCCAGAGTTCTGGCTGCCAAGGCCTTTTTGTGTCGGC